TGTAGGTTGTCTGTTTGCTCTGATGATAGTTTCTTTTGCTGTGCAGAAGTTCTTTAGTTTAATTAGATCCCATTTGTCAATTTTTGCTTTGTTGCCATTGCTTTTAACATTTTTGTCATGAAGTCTTTGCCCCTGTCTATGTCCTGAATGTTATTTCCTAGATTTTCTTCTAGGGTTTTCAGAGTTCAGGGTTTAACATTTAAGTCTTTAATCCATCTCAAGTTAATTTTTGTATAATTTTTGTGTATGGTGTAAGGAAGGGATCAAGTTTCAATTTTCTGCATATGGCTAGCCAGTTCTCCCAGCACCATTTATTAAATAGGGAATCCTTTCCCCATTACTTGTTTTTGTCAGGTTTCTCAAAAATCAGATGGTTGTAGATGTATGGTCTTATTTCTGAGTCCTCTGTTCTGTTCCATTGGTCTATGTATCTGTTTTTGTACCAATACCATGTTGTTTGCATTACTGAAGCCTTGTAGTATAGTTTGAAGTTAGGTAGCATGATGCCTCCAGCTTTATCTTTTTTGCTTAGGATTGTCTTGGCTACTGGGGCTCTTTTTTGGATCCATAGGAATTTTAAAATAGTTTTAGGAATTAGAATTATTTCTAACACCTCGTTGATACTCAAGAAATGCCTGTTGAAGTTGGGCATGGCGACTTATGCCTGTAATCCCAGCATTTTGCCAGGCCAAGGTGGGTGGATCACTTGAGGTCAAGGAGTTCAAGACCAGTCTGGCCAACATGGTGAAACCCCATCTCTGCTAAAAATACAAAAATTAGCCAGGCATGGTGGTGGATGGCTGTAATCCCAGCTACTTGGGAGGCTGAGGTAGGAGAATCACTTGAACCTAGAAGGTAGAGGTTGCATTGAGCCGAGATGGTACCACCGTACTCCAGCCTGGGCAACAGAGCAACACTCCAACTCAAAAACAAAAGGAATGCCTGTTAACTTTAGTATGGATGAAAGAATGAAAAATGAATGAATGAATGAATGATGACAAAGGTAGGAAGTTGTGGACAAATTGTGTAAAGGAAAACTAGGGAAGCCCAAATTGTAGTTAGTCCGTATCCAAACACAGTGTGCAGTCACATGCCTCCCTGTTTCTATTCATGTTGTCCCCTCTGCCTGTGATGTCCAAACTCCCTGCAAAGGTACCTGTTCTTTAACACAGTGCCAGTATCATCTACTCCCTGAAGCTGCCACAGCCCTCACAAGGCAGACAATCATGCCCCTCTCTATGTTACAAGTGCATTGTAAACTTATCTCTATAAAATCCTTTTAACAAGGCCCCACACCACATATGCACTCACACACATACACGCACCCCGGTGCCTCCTATATAAGACAGCATGTTTTCTAAAGACAAAGCCTGGTATACAGCAGAATCACACAACATATACTCACTGGGCTCTGACTGTTTAAGGCATTTAGGATACGTCAGTGAGCAAAATGCACAAAGATCCCTAACCTCATTGAAATTATAGTCTAATAAATGTGAACTAAATATTTGTTTCAAAAATGGATTTTCCTTTATGATATCTGGCTCAACCTTCTCATCCATGAACTCAGCATTTTACTTACTACATCAAATTGCTTACAAAGGAGAAATGTTTGTTGAGTAGACAAGGGGAAAGACAAGTCTTTAAGGGTTTCACCATTATGTGCCATTTCAAAGGTTAGATTGAGAAACTCAGCTTTTAGATGGCAAAAAAAAAAGAGAGAGAGAGAGAGAGAAGGAAGTGGGGAAATCAATGATTTCCTTAGGAATGGGTGAGCTCAGCAGCATAAAAAGCACCCAGGACAGCAGGACCACAATAGGAAGTCAAGGCAGAGGGCCCTGACCCACTGCTCATTCTAGTTCCATCCCTGCAGCTATGAGAACCAAGCACTATGATTTGTCCTGCAGCAGCCATGGAAATCAAACTGAGATTACTCCATGTGTGTACGAAGCTTGGGAGAATTACTTCCAAATAACAGTAACTAGTGGTTAAACCCATGATCAGTACATATGCGTTTTGGTGAGACAGATTTTTTTTTTTAATATAAAGAAGAAGGCATTGAAGGAAGAGGGATTCTTTGGACTGAAATATTTGAAGGCCAACGAAACTAAAAATTGGTCAAGATGTTAGAAGATCTAGGCTTTCCTACATGGCCTTTACATATAAAGGCTTGCTGTTTTCATCACTGACATCTCCCTGCCCTATCAATAGTGTCAGTATGCTCTAAATCTCAAATCAGAACAGGTCATGTGTCAAACAGAGGTGGATGTACAGTACAGTCTGCAGGTTTGAAATAAGAACTATCCCACCAGATATAGATTAGGAACACTATAGCAATAGAAAAGTACCCCAATCTTAATAACAGGCTTCTGCTGGGGAATATGGGGAACAAAGTTAATGCTTTACCTAGCATCTATTTCCATACCCATTAAAAAGGTAATGCATTAGTTTTCAAATATTCAAACTGACATAGGCTAAATAACAGAATTTCAGCACCAGCAAGGACTGTAAATCATCTCATCCTCCCTTCCACACATAGTGCCTGCACCTTCCCTGGAACAACCCTTTTGTGTTAATACCCAGCTTCTTTTGAACATCTTCAGGATAGATTACTCATTGTGCATTTGTCGTACAACTTCCTTACACATCCCCCAAAGATATTTAATAGCTGATATTTATATATCTGCAAGGACATATATTGATCTGGGGAAAAAGTGAAATCCAGACACCCTGGCACAGTGCTCTCTTCTGTGTCTCATAATCACAAGAGGAATTAACCAAGGGTTAATTCAATATATGTAATGTTCTCAGAGGATGAAAGAAATAACTTTCCCCCTATTTTTCAAGCTATTTACCTTCATGTCCCTTGGAACCTTTTAAATAACATTGCTTGAAAATCCAGTCTGTAAGCTGCCTCTGGCTCCAAAAATCATTAAAGAATTTATAAGCTGTTTTCTCTCCTATCCCTGGAGCTGCTGCCAGGGGAAGCAAAATCCAGACATTTGCAACTCAACACCAGTGAGTGCCTGGTTAATCTGATCAATGAGGAGGCAGCCGTTGCAGTCACCTTTGACACAGGGCATCTGACAGGCGGTGACACTCTGTTCTTACTAGTGCTACCAGAGGGCACTTGCCTGGCCCACATCCAGCATGGTGGAGCTCTGGGTTTTAGGGGGTGAAGACTTCCAGGCCAGGTACCAATCCAGACAAAGCCAACCTCTCCTTTCTGCCAGTGCCTCTCTGGAAAGCCCAAAGGACAGACTGTCTTGGGAGGCTTCTGATATTTCCTGCTGGTGACGTCCAAGCGATGATGGCAATGGCGTGCAATTTTCACCTGAGGCCCTCAGGGTAGTATATAACCCTGTCAGGGCAGTCCAAACAAATGCCCCAATGTAATCATCTAGTGCTAATGGTGGCATTTGGGATCTCATAAATCATAATAAAAAAAGTTTTTCTGCCTGAGCTCCTCAGAGAGTTTCCAACAACAGAACTTTAGCCAGGCCTGTGCAATGCCAAAGAATTCTCTGTAGTCACCTGCTTGCAATGGCAAACCTGAGGAATCCTGTGTCCTGGGAAAGATTCAGCAGTTCAGGGACCACAGTAGTGGAGGCAGTCCTCGTCTACTTGGGAGAGTCAGGCTTTGCCCCACCTTCCCAACCCTAAGTCAGGGAAGGATTTCTCAAGTAGGTTGTGGAAGGGAGACAGCAACAGTGGTCTTTTAGATTTTCTCATCCCATTTATATTTTTCAATTTTTAGATTCCCTCTTCACCTAAAACTTATCTTAGAATTCTTTTGAAAGCAAGGGTTTCTTAGAAATTTGGATATCAAAATAGAATAGGGCTCTCTACTCTTTTATCTGACCAAAAAACAAAGAAATGTATTAAAGTGTGTGTAGACCACATAAACACACACTAAATTGATTGGTCTAAAAAAATATAGCACTCAATTTATAATGGATACTCAATAAAAGTTAGCTATCATCATAAAAATAAATAAAATAAATGGATTGGCCGGAACCAACTCTCCTAGTTTTCACCAGCCTGATGTCACTTTTGCCTAATTTACATTCTTTTTGAGGAGGAAATGATGGGTCTCCTTAGCTGTAAGAATGACAATCTAGACAGTCAAGATGGTTTAACCTATGTATTTTATTTAGTAGAATGAGAAAATAGTTAAGATGACCCACTCAGCCAGGAGTGGTGGCTCATGCCTGTAATCCTAGCACTTTCAGAAGCCGAGGTGAGCAGATCACTTGAGGACAGGAGTTAAAGACAAGCATGGTCAACATGGTGAAACCTCGTCTCTACTAAAAATACAAAACTTAGTTGGGCGTGGTGGCACATGCCTGTAGTCCCAATTACTCAGGAGGCTGAGGCAGGAAAATCGCTTGAACCTGGGAGGCAGAGGTTGCAGTGAGCCAAGATTGTGCCACTGTATTCCAGTCTGAAAGAGCAAGACTCTGTCTTAAAAAAAAGGATGACCCACTCAGTTATTTCACGGACACATAGTGAAGAGCTTGACTGGGGCTGGGCATATTTCAAAGAAAAGTGTATGAATATCCTTAAAGGACTAACACCACATCCTTTCAGGACAGGGTTGAGAGACATTGTTAGTGTCATGATATGAATGGCCCACACCATCCAGACCATTAAGTCTGCCAATCTTGGTCATCCACAGTGACGGGTTTTACTTGCTTCATACATATGGGTCTTAACTTGCCTAAGAAATTGTGCAAGTTCACTAAGAGCAGGAATCAAGTCTTATGCTGCTTCTCTATCCCCAGTAGCAAAGTATGACAGTGAAGTGTCTCAGTGACACCCACCACAAGACGTATCAGGACTCAGTAAAGGAAAACCCACTCTATGAAGAATGTGTAGTTCCCTGGGATAGATTAAATTCAGTCCTATCTAGAGGCCTGGGTTGAGACATAGACTCAGATGCAAGGGCTAAGAGCAGAATGGAGAGAGGAAGTAATGATACAGCAGCTTGAATAGCAAGCTTAATGGAATTGTTTCATTTCTACATTTATCTCAAAAAGTGTCCTTATCTTCAGCAAAGACTGGCTGAGATATGTCATCAAAACCTAATTCCTTTTCCTCCTAGACATGCAAGTAAACTAAATTCCCCAGCCTCCCTTGCAGTTATAAGTGGCCATGTGATGAGATGTTTAACCAATGCAAGGTTAGCAGAAGCAATATGTACCATTAATAGACCCCACTGATAAACCTTCTCATGGTCACCTCCCTCTTCTCTCCCCAGGTATCAGGTGAATAGAGAAGATATAGAAGAGGTCCTTGGTTTCCGAATTGCCACTGGATTGCCTCTATCAAATATCCAAGAGTTTCATGAGTGGGAAATAACCTTCTGTTGCTTTAAATCTTGGGTTGTGCAATGCATCAGTGAGCCTACCATGACTAATACATCCTATGAATGTAGATTTCTCTTCTCTAGCCACTGACATGAGTGTGCATTCTGGATGCAGGTTGGTGTATATTGCTATTATTTTCTGCCTTCTCATATTTGATCTGGCTCTTAACCAGTTATTTCTGGTAAACACTTTATACAACAACCTCCTTTCTTCTAGACATTTCTAGTTTCCTTGAAATGAACTTTAGTTATGAGTAACATTAGAAATGTCTCTGTGTTCTGCCCATGGGCACAGGGAGGGGAACAACACACACTGGGGCCTCTCCGGGGATATAGTGGGGTGGGAAGAAGGAGAGCATTAGAAAAAATAGCTAATGCATGCTGGGCTTAATACCTAATGGGTTTATAGGTGCAGCAAACCACCACGGCACATATTTACCTATGTAACAAACTTTCACAACCTGCACATGTACCCCAGAACTTAAAATTTAAATTAAAAAAAAAACTCTATGTTCTGTAAGCTTTCTCTTATAGAACATGGAGCTACTTTAAACTTAACCATTTCCTTCCCACTTAAAACTATTAGTGGGGAGGGAGTGGTTAAGAGTGGAAGTAAGAGAAAGGGGTTGTAGGCAAAGCCATGGAGAAGAGTCATACTCAAGAAAACCTTTTCTCATCTCCGAATAGAAGTCACTGATTAACTGTTCTTCTCGCTGAAACAAACTGTGAATCAGAAGCTAAGACTCCGCTTAACACTTATGAAAAATGATTTGGCCTTCCCTTCTGTTTTGAACACAAGAAGGAATAGCCACATATCTTTGACTTTGAAGACAACTGGAATTGCATGTATTATTCCAGGAGCAAAATCACCCCCTTTATGAGGAAAAGAAAGGTGGAAACAGAGTATTTGGGCTTAGGAAGATAGTAATTGCTATGCAGAGACCATTATTTACTGAACATCCCTATAACATATGCCTTATGGGAGGTAGGAGATGAGTGAAAACAAAAATAGACTAGGTTAGACACAGAGGTTTTATAACAATTACTAAGAAGTACCAGTAAAATTTACTGTTGATCCAGTTTAGTTTACTGTAAGCTTCATGTCCTTAACAGCATCATAAATGATGAACAGATTAACAGAATGTAAACAAAATCCTTCTCAGAAACTTTTTTTTTTTTTCTTTTTAAGTCACAGGGGACTCAAGATTCTTGGACAGAATTCTCGCCGGGAGCCAACTCAGCCTGATCTGCTGGCATCTCTCAAGTATCCGAAGTCAACAAAATGGTTTGCCTTGAAGACTTGGCCAGAGCAGCAGCCAAAGTTCATCAGGCTTTCATAGAGAGATTGTTGTTCTAAGAAAACAAAATTCTAAGGGTTCCCATTGTGCAACTGGGGTGGCAAAATGCAAACTAGTATAAGGAAAAAAAATGCTTTTCATTTCCATGGAAGAAGTGACCCATCCTATTGTTTTGGTATTTCCTTTTCTGTGCTAACTTATTCCATTAATTAGGCTCTCATTTTATGAGATAAATTTCACTGCATGCATATCTTCTTTTGGTTATTACACAAGGACTGTTTTCTATGGTTCATATCTAAGTCTAGCCCTGGAAGAATCTTTTTTTTTTTTTTTTTTTGAGACAGACTTTTTTGTTTTGTTTTGAGACAACACTCCCTCTGTTGCCCAGGCTGGAATGCAGTGACGAGATCATAGCTCACTGCAACTTCTGCCTCCTAGGCTCAAACAGTCCTCCCACCTCAGCCTCCCAAGTTGCTGGGATTACAGGCAAGTGCCATCACACCCGGCTAATTTTTCGATTTTTAGTAGAAATGAAGTTTTGCCATGTTGGCCAGGCTGATCTCAAACTCCTGCCCTCAAGTGATCTGCCCTCGTCAGCCTCCCAAAGTGCTGGGATTACAGGTGTGAGCCACCGTGCCCAGCTTGGCCTTGGAAAAATCTTGATGTAGAATTTATCTGCAGGTATGTCCATCTCTATTTTCCATTCTTAGTAAATGTTTTAGTTTGACAGTAAACGTGTTGAGACATTTACGATTGAGAGAGCGCCTAAGCAGCCCAAAGTGCTGGGAGTCTCTCCTAAGGAATTAGATGCACGCAGCTTTTTTCCCTCACAGACACTTTACTGAGCAGTCATGTTGGGCTTGGGTGGCATCTGCTATTAAGACACACTATTCAGCAATAAAACCCTGAAAATTGCATTGCACAGAACTGATAAAAATGAAATGACTTAAGAAACATATTTATGGTATATATACACAGAAAAAGAATGAAAGTTTGAGGGGGGTATTGCCTTTGAGAAGAAGAGTTATGAGTAGTTTTTATTTCCTTTTTTATTAATCTGTATTTCATTTTTTAGGCAAGCAAATATATTATTTAGACAACAAAATATGTATTATAAAGAAAAGACATTTTTTTTGTTTCTTCTTTGCTTTTCTAAGAGGAAACTTTGACTACAATTGCTTGTGAGTGATACCTGTGTTCTGGTAGCTTAAGAAGACACAATGTGGTTAGGGAAGGATAAGAACAGATGGCTTTAATAAATGTACTCAAGGCTAATGTACTCTTCGTAGACTCAGGCTTCAGATTAGATCTCTTATCTATATTGGCACCAGGATGTGGTTTTGAGTTCTCTGCTTTTTCTACAGCTTTAGGGAAATCTGCATGCAGACACATCCAATTGTCCAAACCAAAATCACATCCAGGATGTGAGGCAGCCTGGGAAAGGTCATTTTGAGTTCTGTAGTCTCCGAAGTATGAAAACACATATACACGTATACATACACACATTCACACCCACACACTTTTGAAGGAAGATGGAATGGAAGATAAGCACCACAGTGAAACTTTAGAAGAATTTCCATTACACTAAGGAAAAAAAGATAGAGGGTCCATTTTCATCACTTTTATCACTGTTGCCTAGAAGATAAGCTGAATAACATAAAATAAAAAGTGTATAGAACACTTGGAAAAAATATAAAAGATTGGTCCCATTCTCAGATGACATGATATTCAATGAGGAACCAACCATAAACAGGTTGTTATGAACTGAATATTAGTGTGACCCCAAAATTCACATGCTGAAATCTTAACCCCAACGTGATGGTGTTAGATGGTGAGGCTTTTTAGGTGCTGACACAGTATAATGCCTCTTCTATGAAGAAGCGGGCCTTTGTCAGTTACCAAATCTGCAGATGCCTTGATCTTGAACTTCCCAGCCTCCAGAACTTGGAGGAATAAATGTTTGTTGTTTGTAAACCACCCAGTTTATGGTATTTTATTATAGCTGCTCAAAGGGTCTAAGACTCAAGTATAAGTCATAAGTAAATGCATCAAATTTGCTGAATATAAATCACATATAAAAATTCAACAGCATGCTTGGATCCCTGGGATGAATCACATCTGGTCATGGCAAGTAATCTAAAAAATAATAATAAAATCAATTTTAAAAATTAAAAAAGCAACAATATTTACTATTCACTGCCAATGACCAATTACAAAATGGCATAAACATGACATCTGTGGTAATGACAAATACCCTAAGGTAACTAGAACTACAAGTAATAAAAGATGTGTATGATTTATAGAGAAGGTTGTAGAAAGAAAAAAATTAAAAGTGAAAACCTAAATGGGAAGAAACATCATATATATTGGGTCAAAGCAGATATCATAATATAAATTATAAAATACAGAACTAAATAATATTATTTAGTATTTTATATACTAAACTTCAAAATGTGTTGGATACACCTGAAGTAGCACTAAAGAGGAATTTACAGCTTTGAATACATGTATTGGAGGAGGAAAGAGATAAAGTTTAATGTGGCAGTAAGCACCCACTTAAGAAAAAGTACAAAAAGAAAATAGTAGTAGTAGAAAGTAATAAAATATAAAAGAGGTTTTTAAAAAGATGCTTACAAAATGGACAGTTTTTATGGGGATTGAACAAGAACAAAGAAAGAAGGCACTAATAACTCATGTCAAGAATGTGGAAGTGGATATGTGGATATAACTAAAATGCTGCAGTTATTCAAGATAAGAGTATTATTAGTAACTATAAAATAATACATTTAAAAACTTGGTCAAAACGGTCAAATTTCTAGAAAAATGTACCTCAACAAAACTGATTCAAGAAAAATAACCCATTAAAAATAAATCAGCGGTTACCTTTCCCCCCTTTTTTTTTTGACAAGAAAATACCAAATGGTTTTACCAGCAAGATCTGCCAAATATTCAAGAAACGAGTAATTTAAATCTTAAACAGAATTTTCCAGAGAATAGAAAATGGGAAGAGGGTTGTTCCTCATCTTATTTTATGAAGCTAGTATACACATCGGTGCCAACATTTGACAAGGGAAGTCTGAAAAAGGAAAATCACAGACTAACCTCTGCCATGAGCAGAGACTTAAAAAATTATAAACAAAATATTTGCCAACCAAATCCAAATATAAAAAGGATTGGACACCATGATCAAGTTGAGCTCATCCTAGGAATGTATCCTTTATGGTAACATTTGGGAAAGCAAAATACATGGGTGCACATGCAAGAGGTAAGAGATTGAGACCAGGAGTCTGTAGGACTTCTGATTTCATCCATTTTTTCCAAGTGAATTAGATTTTCTTTAAAAAAGGTTACTGGGTGAAGACGCAGATAGAGGACCAGGTCTTGGAGATTTAAGGAGAAAGGAAGTATGATATAGTCTTCCAGAAGACTGGAAGAGTAAATAGAATATAGTGTGATTGCATTGGGTCTCATCTGAGCTTTATGGGCATGAATTTAAAGATTATTTATTAGATGACCTGGTTTGTGCAGTAAGAAAACATTTGTTTAGGGATTAGGAAGGAACAAATAAAACTAAAACTCTCCCATTACTCACAGAAGACATGATGATTCTTATAGAAAACCCAAAAGATATTATGTCAATATAGAAAAGTCAATTACTTTTTTTTTTTTTTTTTTTTGCTTTAAATTCTGGGACACATGTGCAGAATGTGCTGGTTTGTTACATAGATATATATGTGCCATGGTGCTTTCCTGTACCTATCAACCCATCATCTAGGTTTTAAGCCCAGAATGCATTAGGTATTTGTCCTAAAACTCTCCCCCTCCCCTTCCCCCACTCCCCCCAACAGGCCCTGGTGTGTGATGTTACCCTTCCTGTGTCCCCGTGTTCTCAATGTTCAACTCCCACTTATGAGTGAGAATATGTGGTGTTTAGTTTTCTGTTCCTGTGTTAGTCTGCTGAGGATGATGGTTTCCATCTTCAGCCATGTCCCTGCAAATGACATTAACTTTCTTTTTTCTGGCTGCATAGTATTCCATGGTGTATATGTGCCACATTTTCTTTATCCAGTATACCATTGATGGGCATTTGGGTTGGTTCCAAGTCTTTGCTATTGTAAATAGTGCTGCAATAAACATACATGTCCATGTGTCTTTATAAAGTGATTTATAATCCTTTGGGTATATAACCAGTAATAAGATTGCTGGGTCAAATGGTATTTCTGGTTCTAGATCCTTGAGGAATCACCACACTTTCTTCCACAGTGGTTGAACAAATTTACACTCCCACCAACAATATAAAAGCATTCCTGTTTCTCCACATCCTCACCAGCATTCTGTTGTTTCCAGACTTTTTAATGGTCATCATTCGAACTGGTATGATATGGTATCTCATTGTGATTTTGATTTGCATTCCTCTAATGACCAGTGAATAGTTTTTCTTATGTTTTTTGGCCACATAAATGTGTTCTTTTGAGAAGTTGTTCATATCATTCACCCACTTTTTGATGGTTTTTTCTTGTAAATTTAAGTTCCTTGTAGATTCTGGATATTAGACCTTTGTCAAATGGATAGATTGCAAAAATTTTCTCCCATTCTGTAGGTTGTCTGTTCACTCTGGTGATAGTTTCTTTTGCTGTGCAGAAGCTCTTTAGTTTAATTAGATCCCATTTGTCAATTTTGGCATTTTTTGGAAATGCTTTTGGTGTTTTAGTCATGAAGTCTTTGCCCATGCCTATGTCCTGAATGGCATTGCCTAGGTTTTCTTCTAGGGTTTTTATAGTTTTAGGTTTTACGTTTAAGTGTTTAATCCATTTTGAGTTTATTTTTGTATAAGGCATAAGGAAGGGATCCAGTTTCTGTTTTCTGCATATGGCTAGCCAGTTTTCCCAGCACCATTTATTAAAGAGGGAATCCTTTCCCCATTTCTTGTTTTTGTCAGGTTTGTCAAAGATCAGATGGTTGTAAATGTGTGGTGTTATTTCTGAGGATTCTGTTCTGTTTCATTGGTCTATATACCTGTTTTGGTACCAGTACCATGCTGTTTTGGTTACTGTAGCCTTGTAGTATAGTTTGAAGTTGGGTAGCATGATGTCTCCAGGGTTGTTCTTTTTGCTTAGGATTGTCTTGGATATACAGGCTCTCTTTTGGTTC